TTTTCCTCCAACTAAAATTCTCAGGTGCTGATAGGTAGACAGCTCTGAGTAATGAGAAGCATCATGTCCCATTCACCTTATGTCCACAGCATCTTTTATCTTCTAAGGTCTTGCTCTTTTGTTTTCAAAGCAGCTTTTTTCCCCCAATAATATAAAAATAATATTACCATGTAGAAAATTAGCGGTATACAGAAAATACAAAGATGATGATAGGTTTCAACCATAATCCTCCCATCCATCTTGTTGTATTTCTTTATATACATATGTCTTTAGCATATCTAAAACTATAGCCGGATGTACAATTTATAATCTTGTTTTTTTCACATAGTGTTACATTATAAAAATTGTCATTAAAAAGCTCCTTAATCTTCTGTCTAGATGTCTACATACATTCCAATATATGGATGTACTGTAATTTAACATTTTCTTATTATTATACATCATAATGTTTTGATAATAAAAGAATCACATGTTGAACTTTCCTACATCTAAATAGTTGTCGTCATCTCTTATTTCCTCCAAATAGATTCTTGGAAGTGTGGTTACAGGCTGAAAGTACATGAACATTTTTAGAACTTTTCATCCATATTGCCAAATTGCTTTCCAGAAAGGGTGTGCCAGTTTACATTACATACAGCATGGCTGTGGAGGATCCCTGTCTCAAAAGAATTTTGCCATCAGAATATAGAGAAAATGATCCTAGCATATCATAGAATCTAATGATAACTGAGGAGCTCTGGTAGCATAGTGCCTAAGGCATTTGACTGCTAACCAGAAGGCTGGCGGTTCAAACCCACCAGCCACTCCATGGAAGGAAGATGGGGCAATCTACTTCCATAGTGATACTGCCTCAGAAACCCAAGGAGGAGTCGCTATGAGTCGGGTCCGACTCGACGGCACATAACAACAACAACAACGGTAGCTATGAGCTTTCGTGCTCATCAACAGTAATAGGTTACACTACACATGATCCTTTAAAAATAAGCAAGGTCTGGGCTAGAAGGACTGAATGTAAGGACACTGATTTATGGGAGTGTTTATGGGATATGAAAATAAATTTATGGGATAGGAAAATAAATGTTTTAGTAATGAGAATGACATAGAAGGAAACTAAAGACATCCCTCAGCCTCACACAACCTCAGACATATGTGTCTTATTCCTACAAGTCTGTTATTTCACCCCATGAAGACCTAGAAGAAGGCAGTAAGAGACGAATTTCCTGCTAAACATATAAGTGCCACTAGATATAGAAAGGAGTGGCAATAAAACTTGATTTTAAGACAGCTGTTATACACAGAACTGTACCTAGCTGGCCTAGTGGGAAGTTGTATACAAAAAATAACATAGCAGAATTCACCCTTCCTTTTTGAAATGAGAGGGCAGTTATCAGCAAGAGCTACAGAATCAGTTTAAACTTCATGAGCTTCCTCTAGCCATAAAAACTTACTGCTGTGTAGGAATAAAGTGAGCATTAGATTCACCAAATAGAAGGCTGCTGTGATTTATGTATTTGCCTTACTCAGAGGCTAGCAAAGGCAGGGTTGTACAGGTATTTAACATCTGCTTAAACTGGCTACCCAGCAGTCATGAGGACTGACTTTAAAATGGCCCTGAGTTTTGTAGGGCTAGTTGGGCCGATTTCAAAAAGATCAGAACTATAGGAAAAGCCAGGCTGTTTCTAAACATTGAGATGACCCAAGGAGTTACATGTGATCTGATGTGATTTTAGAGTAAATTGTATAGGAAGTATGCATTCATTCAGCATATTTGAGTAACTGTGATGTGCTGGACACTTGCGGTGCTGTGTCTGGTCAGGCATGATCTCTGATCTTTAGGCATTTCCCTTCTTATAGGGCCAGAAACTTAACAAACACAATTATTCTACAAGACAATTCTATATAATAGTAATAATATACATGAAACACAGTAGGTGCAAAACCACCTAAGTTTTCCCAGAGAAGAATCATCTGCCCAGAGTCTTTAATAAATGGGAATTTACAAACTGGAGACGTAGGAAGAGATTCTTTTAAATAGTGAGAACAGCATATGTAAATGCAGTAGGCCTGAGAGAACAAAATGTTTTTTGGTGACTAAACGACAACTTCAGCATTGTTAGAGCCAAAAAAATAAGAGCAAGGGCATCTTGCGTTTTGGACTGGAGTGTCAGAATGCCTTTCTCAGGTAGCATCCTTTACCTTCAGCTACATTTTAAATGGGAGGGGAAGAAAGCATATTTGATAAAGATGCTATTTGATTAGTTGAAAAAGTGACCTGAGTGCTGGAATAACTAGTTTAATAATCCATGTTTAGTTGTCTATGCCTTGTCTTTGTGTATATATATTAGATGGTCTATTTAGACCAAATAGCATTAAAATTACTTTAATTAAAATTAAAGTCACATCTCCATTTGAAATGTATGCTGATTGCTTTGTGATTTTAACACGTTCCTTGTCCCTTCTTTTGCCTAGAAGAGGGAGGTATCTAACTGATCTTGCTCTGCCAAACAGTTTATTTGATAATCACTGAGAGCTTGTGTTCAGAAGCCTTATATAACAATATCATTTGCTCAGTAGGGAGAAAGGAATGTTTAGACAGAAATAAAATACTACGGGTTTTGGTTTTTGTTTTGTTTTTTAACTTCTTGTATTTCATTTTCTAGTCTAAATTTAAACTCTATATCCCTTTCTGGACTTAATTCATGAAGTTATATCTTTTATACCATTAATAAATTACTTTTTGTTTCACAATCTTTGGTGGAATTCATCTTGCTTTTCACACTAAACTCAACATATTTCAGACTAGAAAGATCCACATAAAGGTATAAAGCATGACTTAATTAACATTTAGCCTTTAGAAGAGAAGCTTGAACAGAAGGAAAATGCATGATTTGTTTATTGTTTTTGTCCCCATGTTAGCCTTTTATTTATTTTGTAGCCAGTGATACATACCATCCATATATCTATGCTGTTTTTATTTTGCATTCTCCATGTGGCCTATGTTCTGAGGAAATAATCATCTGGCAAGCTTTCATGTGACTATGGAATTGAATTTTGATAGGAAAATAAATGTTTTAGTAATGAGAATGACATAGAAGGAAACTAAAGACATATATTTAGGAAACCTAGGTTCAGGTCCTTGGGTATGTTGCTTAACCAAGAGCTCTTGTTTTCATTTATTTTTATAATATAAAGGCTTTGAACTGAAAGTCCTGTAAGTTCAACAAATATATGGCCTGAATTTTTTTTTGCAACAATATATATTTTAAATATCTTGTACTTTAATGTTTATAAATCAGAGAACATCTCAGATTCCAATACTTGAGACTCTTTACATTTGGAAGAATAGTAGAAATCCTTTATTAAACCATGTGATTTGCTCTTGATTTGGAAAATTTAGTTATTAAATTTTTATTTATTCTTTTCCCATACTAAAATTAATGTGATTCTGGGATCCATCCAGAGCAACATTCTACCTCATATCCTCTAAGTCACCTCATTCTCAAGCCCTTTGCCCAGAATTTCAGCCAGTTTAATATTAAACTTTTCTGTCTAAACTGTCATTGTCTTCAGAATTTTATAATTTATATTCTTCTGAAATTAACATAAATTATTTTTAACTTAATGATATTTGTTCAGAACAGCTCAAGTAAATATTTCTTGAATGCTTACTGTGTGTCATATACTTAATAGAATTTTAAATCGAAAGAGGGAGGGTTATAGAATTGAATGTTTTTTTGTCAGAAAATTTTGGGTATTATTTGTGGGGTTTAGTTATAATTTTCCAGGGAATTTGCCTTTATTTTCTCTGTGTTCCAGGTCTTGCCTGAAATTTAGAAGTCCCTTTCTTCCCCTTCCTTTCTGGTGCTGTCTGTCAGTGGTGGTGATCACCTCTGAGGAAGAAAAGCCCACTTCCACTGACCATGGAGAACACTCAGCATCTCTGCTTGATTGTGACAAGGGCAGTTTTTGGATGGATCATGAAATGCTTCTAAAGTAGCCAAGAGTTAACTCTTCCTAACCTTTTTATGTAATAAGCATGTTACCACCAAGGTAACTTACCCAGTGGAATCAACTTCAGCCTACACAGTGGAATCACATTATTTACACATTTAACTTGTGCTTATTCCACTCTATCAAAAAACAGCATGCACAAGTGAGAAACAAAAATAGTAATTTAAATAAATAGCACACGTTCAGCCTTCCAGTTCAGTAAGTCCCAGGCAATGGATGAAATCAGATCTGAAACAATCAGTTCACATTGGTGAAAGCTGTGGAAAAGAATGTGTGGATGAATTTAAAGGTTTCCCTATCATCTTTAGGTGGCCAGGCAAATGGGTGGGGATAGCTAATTTGATCTAAACTGAGAGTTGTTGAGAGGCTAATTTGAAGAACTGACAAAATCCTCTACAGAGGATAAAATGATGACAAGAACAAGATGGGATTTTTGTTGATAGTTACTAAGTTGGAAGGAATAAAACGTCTGAATGATTAAATTTCTGAGTGTTCTTTATGGAGATTTCAGTGGTTACTTTTACCATACACCATTTCTGCCTTATAACCAGTCCTCTAAGTATGATGCTACTTCACCAAATGCTAAGAGCACCAACTTTGTTTGATAGTGTAAATTGAATAAGATGATAGGTAATTTCATTAAGAAGCCAGTTCTTGGTTAATAATTCCATGTGTTAAAAATCTGTGAGCATGAATGGGCTTCTCACAGTGGAAGTCTTTGAATTTAAAATCCAGATTGTAAAATATAGTGACTGTTTTTTGACCATCCTAGTAATTTGTGTTATCTGTATCATTCATTTTACTTTGTTGCTGGGGCCTTTTTTCACCTGTGTCCACTTTTCACTAGATAATTATTACTTTGGTATTACATAACTACCAAGTTGGGGGAAAAAAAAAACAAACCACAGTTGTCTAAATTTTCTTTTTTTAAGCTACAGTTTTCATTGTACTAAATATGTGAAATATGTTTTTCTTTTGTGGTTATACAGGTGAACATGATTAAAGATGATGGAACAGTTATTCATTTCAACAATCCCAAGGTCCAAGCTTCCCTCTCTGCTAACACCTTTGCAATTACTGGCCATGCAGAAGCCAAACCAATCACAGAAATGCTTCCTGGAATATTGAGTCAGCTTGGTGCTGACAGCTTAACAAGTCTTAGGAAGTTAGCTGAACAGTTCCCAAGGCAAGGTAAGTATTTCACTTTAGAATCAATTTCTCTCTCCATCTTAAAGAAGCTAATACTTTAAAAGGAGCTCTGGTAGCATAGTGCGTAAGGCATTTGACTGCTAACCAGAAGGCTGGCGGTTCAAACCTACCAGCCACTCCTCGGAAGGAAGGTTGGGCAATCTACTTCCGTAGTGATACTGCCTTGGAAACCCAAGGAGGGGTTGCTGTGAGTCGGGGCCGACTTGACGGCACGTAACACCACCACAATACTTTAAAAGGTGTCCCATCTTAAATTGAAAGGATTTGCCTGTATGTAAATTATGTTTCTTAAATTCATGTGTATGGTTGACAGAATTTTGAGTTTATTTCTTTAACGTTATGCAATGCAGTATATAGAGTATTTAGATACATTTTTGTAAGTAATACAGTGAGTTAAATAAAAAAAGAAAAAGCGCCAGAATATGCAGGCCATGCTTTATAAAAAGTTAATTTGATTTTCACTTCTGATCAATGAGAGTCAGAAAAATAGTATTAATCTGGAACTATATTTTTGTTTAATATTGTTGATTGAACTATAGATATGGTAACCGTAAGTTCTGAATTTACAAGATAGTTCTGGTTTCCTATGTGTCTTCTCACTTCTGAAAATCAGAATACAAAGGTGTCATTTCCGTGCTTGTACTACATACCTAGATACTTTCTTACACTAAGAGAGATGGGAAAAAATCTGTACTTACTGGTTTGGACTTGGAGAATATGGCTACTCTAAATTAACTATAATGCCTCTTTGTTTAAACTTATCTGAGTTATTCCATTTTGCATATAAATTATTTAGCTTTGCTGCACATTGAAATTTCTGGCTGTATTTAGTGTATATTAAATTAAAGTTTTATTGATTTTACTGTTATTTAAGCAAAAAGGTATGTTAGATTGACAATATTTAGCTTTTTCTGAGCAATGGTATGAAATTTAGAAGGAAGGATTAACAAATTTAGATAGGAAAAAAAAGATAAACAGTTCAAATATTCTGTAAACATCTTTGTTCTCGGTGATTAATATTAAAATAAACTTTTTGTAGTGTTGGATAGCAAAACACCAAAACCCGAAGACATTGATGAGGAAGATGATGATGTTCCAGGTAAGTGATACTTCTTTAGTTTTGAGATTTCTAGCATTTATTCATCACTCAATCATTGCAGAGATGACTGAGTTTTTTTCTTGATGGATGAGGTTGTGAATTTTAATTGATTCACATTGATACAAATATGAACTAATGAAAAGAATTTTCCTTTAGAACTTAGAATCATAAATTTTCACACATAGTTCTGTTAATTATGTTTATTAAATTGAAATTGTTGTGACTATAAATTTGCTTAATATTATTTCCTTTCTATGGGAATTAGGATTGACATATGAAAATGCTGTACATCTTAGTAGTTAGCATAGACAAATGGAAGACTAATTGACATTTCCTTAGGATTACTACTTTAAGCATATCAATGAATCATTACTAGTGAAATCCTACCAGTTCATTTCTGCTTTTTGTCCTGTATGCTTTTAGATTAATTCTAGTAGTAACAATTTTGTTTTTATTGAGGTTAGAAGTTAGGAATTTCATTTACCTCTTTTTTTCTTTTGTATTCCTTGACTCATTTACTTTTTTTTCCCCCTAGATCTCGTAGAAAATTTTGATGAGGCATCAAAGAATGAAGCTAACTAAAATCTTTTCTGGTTTTTGGAAGCTGGCATGGACTAGATTTAGCAAATCAGCTATGTGGTTCCAAAGTTTTACGGACACAGAGAACATCACCTGTTACTAGTTCAGTAATATAAATATTTTGTATATTAATAATGCTGTTTGTTCAGCATTTTTCGGTCATTTGATTTTGCATTTTGCACTTCCTCCCAGGATCTAATCTTTTAGTCAAAATGCGAAGTATCGGTGCAGTTTGAGGGTTATTTTGGGGTTTTGATTCTTGGTTTTTTGTTTCTTGTTGGGGGATTTTTGGTGTGTGTATGTATATGTATGCGTGTGGGGTATGTATGTGTATACAGTGGAGAGAAAATTGGAAAACAGTTCTATTTATCCTTCCCCTTTCCCTAGTAGAAATAAAACAAATCTTTACATTTGTTACTTTTTTTCCCCCCAATAATGCAGAGTTACTGAAAAATGAGTGTCTTGGATTTCAAATCAGAAGAGATTTTACCATTGGAGGTTTGGTTTAAATTCCTGTGTATTTTTGATACATTTTCTGGGTTTAAACTGTATGGAGATATTGTACCATCAACTTCATGCTGGAGTAATGGGTAGCATATCTTTGGTACAGTTGCTTTAGATTCACTTACCTAGTCAGACCCTGAAGAATTTCCTTTACTAGCTTTTTTCCTTTTTCCTAATTCCCTTTTTCCTCTCCTGTTGGTATCAAAATGGCCTGGTCCACCTTTGGTAATGCTCTTACTTATCTTCCACTTAGCCTGAGAAGGTATTCTCCATACAGAGTCGAGTGAGTGCCTAATCCCTCTTTGTAAGATTTTGTTTCCTCATCCTGAGGAACAGCAGCTCCTTCCTCAAATTGTTATCTCCCTTTGATCTTATAGTTTGGGAGATTTCAAACTGGAATAGCTAGCATGTGCTTGCTAAATAATTTTATGTCAGCCTTACCCTATATTCTAGCTGTTCTTAGTAGCAAGTATAAATATGTCTCTTTTTCAGCAAGGTTGAAATTGGAAATATCCTTTTGAATCAGGAAAAAAAAAAGGCCATAGACTCATCCCCTAGCACAAGACAGGCATTCTATAAAATGGTGTTGGCCTTAGGAGGATTTCTTCAACCGCTCTCCTACTCTTGGCCTTGGACCTACCTCTGATTTGGATCTTACTATTGTAGCTGCTCATAGCACCCCTCCTGCATGCTTAGAGTAATGCTTTGAGGGGAACACTGGTAAAACACGGTATTTATTTTTTCACCTCCTTTCAGAAGGCGTGGAGGTAAGTTGCATTCATTCACTCAAGTTTCCCTCTTGCTGTCTGATAAAAGCTTGCATTTTGCTATGTCAGCATTTATTATAGCCAATAGTTAAGAATAAGACTTTAGAAAATCTTTTGTTTCTGGCCTATCATCAAACTAACTATGGCTTAATCTTGCAGCATATCAACTCTCATTTCAAGCTAGATATCTTTATTTGATATCTAAAGTGCAGGACTAACAACGTATCAAGAAAACTTTAGACATGAAGGCAAAGCTCTTGTGTTTTTTCATCCAAACACCTCAATTTATTTTATAAATTTGTTCATTTTTCCTGTTATGTTTTCTATAATATATGGACTTAACTACAAAATAAAATAACAGTACAAAAGAGGATAATATTTCCTCTTGTGCTTCTCTCATTGTTGTCTATGAAATTCCCTTCTTTTGTATTTTCCTTCTCCCCACCCCAAAATGAATTTTAGTGCAGTCGTTATTTGAAATAATGTCTCATCCATTATCAGGTCAATAACTCTACATGCTCTACACAGCTCAGAATTCTATTCCTCTGACTATCCCCAAGTGCATGTTACAGGGCAGAGAATTAAGGAGGAATTTTCAAGTGATTAGGGACATTTCAGAGGTAGGTAGTATAGCAAATGAAAAAAGAGCATTCACCACAGAATCAGACGACCCAGTTCTAGTCCAGGCTCTGCCAATAATTATATGAACTTGAATATTTCATCTAATTACTTTACGATTCATTAGTCAACTGAGACGTTCTAAATCTAAAGTTTATTCCACTTCTCTAGTTCTATGTCTCATTTCTCCAAATTTTCAAGGAGGCAATTTTACCATCTTGTAAAATATTTTTATTTTTATTAATGTCTGCAAAACTTTTTGTTCATGTATATGCTCCTACTTTTTCCCTTTGGATCACAGAAGCTTTTCCCTTCTATATTGTTGACAACTCTTAACGCCTAGCTTCTCTTCTTTGCAATAACCCAATATTCCTTTTTATTTTATATTTTCATACCTTCCCCTTTCCTGGACAAAGCATATTGAGATCCTGACCAACCTAAAGAAATGTTCCTGCCTTCAGAGTGGGCGGGCATAGTGTAAAAGTAAGAGTATGGATGAAACAGCTTATAAATTCTAGTGTTCTTAGCATAAATATGAATTATACCATTTTTATATATATGAAAAATTAGTTGCTAAATATATGCTTTTTACTAATGTTAGGTTTTATACTACAGTTAGATATTGCCAAAATAACAACTATAGCAGCATTTTCTGGGAAAATTGTCCTTAAAATTTTGGGATAATTCAAGAAATGTCTGCATAAAATTGATGCATGGTCACGATTTTTGTGGTTCAAAATTTTTTTCCCCAGTTTTTGTAAAACTTCATTGTTTGGGAGAAGTCCAAATTAAATAGTTGGGAACTTATATTTGTTTTTATGTTTATTTTACCTATTAAGTAGTGGTTTAAGAATACACCAAGCACCTTAATTTCCTGTTAGATAACTAGTGCTTAGAGGATTCCATTACATTCATTTTAACCTAAAATAAGGTTCTTAAGAGAAAATTTTTCCTGGAGGAAGTGCAGCCAGAATGCTCCTTGGAAGCAAGAATGGCCAGACTTCGTCTCACCTATTTTGGTCATGTTGTAAGAAGGGCCCATTCCCTGGAGAAGGATGTCATGCTTGGTAGGGTGGAGGGTCGACGAAAGAGGGGGAGGCCTTCAATGAGATGGATTGATATGGTGGCTGCGATGATGGGATCAAGTATAGCAGGGATTGTGGGGCTGGCGCGGGATCGGGCAGTGTGTCGTTCTGATCTAGGATGTATTTGAATTGTTCTTCTGTTTTAATTCAGTGTTTAATCCTAAGTATGTTATATGTTGATGAATAGGATATCTTGATGAGCCATAGTATGGTATAGTGAGGAAAGCACAAATTTTTAAATAGACATCAGTTTCACTACTTAACTGTTTTAAACTCTACAATAGAGCTACTGCAATCCAACATTCCATGGGCCACCATTCCTAGTCCAACAGGGCTACTGCAAAACACAACTCCAGAGCCACAGTTCATATCTGTTGTGTCTAAAGGTGCTGTTTTATAGACTACCATCTGCTCTTTGTGAACAGTGCAGTGATGGCTTATTCTGTGAGCTTCAGTTTCCTCCTCTGTAAAATGATGCCTAAAAGTCAAGCAGCATTCCTTGGAACCCCAAATATAACTAAGGTGAAAATGAAAGATGGTTAAAGTGTATTTTCATCTCCCAAGCCCCAGCATAAAGTTGCTTCTGGCAGTTAGAAAGCATGATTCTGGCCACTGCTGCATTCCATCCTACACTGCCACCCTACAGTTCAACCTATGCTCCTCTGTCACATTAAGTTTTCCTGGATTATAATGGTAGCCTCCTCTTTGATCTTGCATCTGATTCACTCCCTCCAGTACATCCTGTACTTAGGAGCCAAACTAATCTAAAATTGAAATCTGAGCACATCGTAGCCTCACATTTTCCTCCAACATACCATTGTGTTTCATGCTTCTGTTCCTTTCCATGTATTTTTACTCAATTACTGAAATAAGATTATTTTTCTTTATGCTTTTCCATCTAGATCATGAACTCTTTGATAACAGAAGTCATGTTATACATCTTTTGTCCCCAGCAACATCTAGCATCGTGCCCAACATGTAGTCTGTACTCATGATCATAATAACTAACACTTACTGAATAATACTATTGCATACAAAATTATCTCATTTAATTCGCAAATAGTCCAGTGAGGCAGATACTATAATGTCACTTTAAAAAAGGAACAAAAAATGGTCTAGGGAAGTTTGTATGGATATCACACAACTAATGGTGGGAGTACTAGGATTCTAATTTTTTGTTGTTATGTGCCGTGGAGTCAGCCCCAACTCATAGCGACCCCTCCTTGGGTTTCCGAGGCAGTATCACTATGGAAGTAAATTGCCCAACCTGCCTTCTGAGGAATGGCTGGTGGATTTGAACCTCCAGCCTTCTGGTTAGCAGTCAAGTGCCTTAGGACTATGCTACCAGAGCTCCTGGATTCTAATATAGATCTATTCATTTCCAGACTTAGCCTCACTCTATGCTGCTCAACAAGTATTTACTGAAATGAAAATTATGTATACATGGCTTCTCTAGACAGATAACTCTCATCAAATTCACATATAGAGGCAGTCCCCAGGTTATGAATATCCAACTTACAACCTGTAGTTACAAACCAGCCCCTGTAAAGCCTATTATTTAAAAAATTTGTGGTACATACAATGGTTCACAGTAACAACAGGTGCTATTTTGTAACATGCATCAAAATATTAATTATAAATATTATAAAGATGTTTTACTGTATCTGGAAGTGTTTCTTTAATGTATTTTATGCTTAGAAAGGTACACTATTTACTAAGGCAAATAGTTGATTGACTGATGTTAGGTACAAACCATACCTAACTATTCCAACTTTTTGTACACATTTGACTTAAAGACAGACTTAAGAACAGAACTCATTCATAATCTGGAGACTGCTAGTAATAATATCATTCTGTATTAACTGAAAGTCAAACCTGTCTATAAGGATTGTTCAGAAAGTAGGTTTATGAGAATTTTTTGTTGTTCTAAGAAGTGAGTTTTATATAGTAGCTTTTATAATTTTTACATACATTTATGGGAGTTGACTTTTCTATATAACTTAATAATTGGATTTTTTGCATACCTGAGATAAGATCTTCTGATAGCAGTATTTGGGCAAAAATTCTTTGATTACATATGTTAATCTATTTGACACTGGTGTTTCCAATCAAAATTTTGCCGCTTTTTAGACATACTTTGTCAGAAATACTCTATAAGAACAAAAGTGGCAAATTTCTTCTGAAGCCTCACTTTTTCTGTGTTTGAAAATTAACTAATGACAACATGCAGAATAGCAAAGTAGGAAGCTCTAGATCTCTCCACCTAAATAATAATTGAATTGGAAAAAACAATTGGACTCAACTAATTTAGATCTCTAGACCCTGATCCTTGGTGAGCATGTATCTTAAACAGCTACCATCCCCCATACTCAGCCCCTGCATGGTGGTGGAAACCTGTATTCTTAGTAATTCCTAGAGCAGTTGGCTGTGGTGCTGGGGCAAGCAGTGAGGACCTCGTTTTCCAAGGACTTGGGGTTATACAGTTTGTACAGTTGGATTAGTCTGGCAGTGCCCTGAGGGAACCATGCATATTATTGCTCTGGTTCCAGCCCTCTCCAGTTCAGTGGCAGCAGCTTAAATGACTAGTGGACCTTTTTTTTTTTTTTTTTGGTGAAATCTGCCCAGCCACTGACCAACTACAGAGATAACAGTATAGAAATTTTAGTGATTACACACAATTGGATTCCATACTTTGCAAAAATTGTTTGAAAAGTCACTAAACAGATGGTTGTTGCCTTCATTAAGTAACAACAGCAAATCCTGACAAAGTGGGAGAATCAGATTTCCAGAGCTACCACATTATAATACATATAATGTCCAGTTGTTGTTGTTGTTATGTGCCGTCAAGTCGGCCCCGACTCATAGCAACCCCTCCTTTGGTTGCCGAGGCAGTATCACTATGGAAGTAGATTGCCCAATCTTCCTTCCAAGGAGTGGATGGTGGGTTTGAACCGTCAACCTTCTGGTTAGCAGTCAAGGGCCTTAGGCAATGTCCAGTTATCAACAAAAATTTTGTATTAAAAAAAGAAAATATGACCCATTTCCAAGGAAGTCCCAACATTGGGGTTACTAGTCAAACACAATCAATTGTCTTAAATAAGCTTAACATGCTAAAGGAAACCATAGACAAAGTGCTAAGGGGAATTATGCATGTATAAAAGGAGAATATCAACATAAAAGAACCACACAAATTCTGGACTTCCAAAGTACAATAAATGAAATGGGAATATTCACCACATGCCACATGACTTCAACAAGCAGATAGAAGAAAGGATCAATAAACTTAAAGACATTTGAAATTACTGAATGTACAGACAGAAAAAGTATGAAGATAATGAAAAGAGACTATGAGATTTGTGGGATGCCACCAAGCATACCAACTTACACATCTTAAGAGTTCTAGAAGAAGGAAGAACAAGGCAGAAAAAATATTTGAAGAAATTATGACTGGAAACTTTCCAGGCCTGATGAAGGACAAGAACATATACCCATTGAAGAAGCTTAACAAACTCCAAATGGGATAAACTCATTGGAATCCATATCGAAACACAGCTAAATTGTTGGAAACCAAAGTCAAAGAGTCTTGAAAGCAGCAAGACAGTAATGAATCATCACATACAAGGTATCCTCAATAGGGTTAACAGTTGATTTCTCATCATAAACCATGGAGGCCAGAAGGCAGTAGGATAACATA